AGCTCCCTAATGCCTTCACACCCTTCCTAAACTGTACTGCCCAGAATTGGACACAATGCTCCAGATGTTGCCAAACTTGTGTTTATTTCTGTCTAGCCATAAAAAACAATCTCTACGCCTTCATTCTCTGGGTGCACTTCATCCTTTTTGTTTGTAATAGTGAGATACAAAGTATTCCTCCAGTACCTTTGTTGTGCTTCCTGCCTTCATAAGATTTTCCTTTGTGTCCATAACAAGCTCCATTATTCCTTATAATTATAATTTTACATTTGTTGAACAATCTAGGTTACCCTTTTATATTAATTGCTATTTTTTCACATACTCTCTATTTGTGCTTCTCACACTCTTATTCATTTTCTTTCTGCACTCTTTTTATTTGATCTTCAAATGTATTCTGTACTTGACATTTGTCATAAGTGTTATTTTTCTATTTTATTTTAACCTCTATTTCCTTTGTTATTCGAATATTTCTGGCTTTGAAAACCCATTTGTCTTGCTGATGGAAATATGCTTGGTTTGTGCCCAAAGTATCTCTACCTTGAAGATCTGCCATTCCTGTTCATGTCACCAGAGATTTACTGCACAATTTAAGGGCAGGAAATACTTGAAATTGAATAAATGGCAATAAATTGAACTGTGTCTCGAAACCATTTGTAAACACATTCATGGCATCAGAACGCTTCACTTGAATTGCTGCCTTGTAACCCACTTTTCTTCAATTTTGTACAAATAATATAAAGCTTGTTTGTGGGAGTTGAGCAACAATTAATATGCCACACAGGTGTTTACACCAGATAAGGTATTAATGAATAAGTGAGCATTGATTAACAGCAAACAGGACATAAAATGCATAACAGCTTCATTCAGCATGCTCATGATGGTTTCACATACTGAAATCAGCTCAACAACAACAACAACATAATCGCAGGTGCAAAGTTTGATTCAACAGCCTTCTAAAAAGCTTCAGCATACTCAGTTATATAGGTTAGATGGCTGCCAGCAGCCCTGGACATAAATCTAATACCTGCCTATCCATTCGTGTTAGCAATACCAGCATCCATTATCCAACCACTACTGCCCAACCATGAACTTGTCAATAACTCATTTACCTCTGACAAAGGAGGCAATCTTAGATTTTAAAAGAAATAAAAATCCTTCTGAGATACCTTATCCAAATCGTCATTCCTCATTTGTAAGCCATAAGCAGTGACACTGATGGATGAATAAATTTACGTTTTAACTCCTGACCCTTCTCTAACTCAATTCTTATAAATGTATTTTTCAGTAGAGTTCACAGGATTGCAATAGCAAACACTGCCTTTTGTTTCCTTTCACTATCCTGAGACATTGAGGTCAATATGTAGTTCACCTACCATAAGACCAGTTGAGATAAGTTAACTTAATACACACAGAGGAATCAAAGCTAGGACTTTCTGGTCCAGAGGAAATCTAGATACAGATCTGAGTGAAAAATGGAAATGATAGCACTAGATAAATAATCTATAAAGAAAGTTGATGCCATGGTTAATATCAAACTTCTGAGAGGATAGAAAACATGTGTTAAAGTCAAACTAGGTGATGATGCAAGTGGAATGGGTGAAAGAATCAAGTCTTTTTTTGAAATGGTTACAAACATTGCAGTTTAAAGGCAGCAGTGGCTGTTAGATGCTGCACAACATTAGTTCAAATAGGTCATGTCAATTTAGTTTACTTGACCAATTGTTGACAAGCACATGACAAGGTGAAACAATGATGAACAAGACCTGATGGAACAATGAAATACTATAATAAACTTAAAGTTAATGAATTGTTAGGATTCCTTAGTTTGCACCTGGTAAAGTTAAACATTGTTATGATAATCATGAGTAATTAGAAATGAAAGAGGTTGGGAAACAACCCACATAACTCATATTGTCATCACTTTACATCACTTGCTTCCAATACATACACCCACCATGCAGTAAGTGCAGCTCTCCATTAAAATACTCCTTGATTCCTGTTAAACTTTCAAGAGAAAAATCAATTATCAAACTCAAAGTTAAAAAGATAAACATACATAGTCTGAAAGAGCACAAAAGAGAATTGCCCTGATTTTACTTAACTATTATACTTCAACTTCTAAAGCTGAGTTTAATGATAAGTTGCTGTAAAACTTTATAGTTCCTGAATTTCTGATGTTCAAAACACATTAATATCCATTGTAATTTAAATGGAATTTATTTTGGAAGCTGAACACTTTTATTAATGGCCTGAATTAATTGTTAATGTGGCTTCATTTAATGTTGATTTTGTGGATTCATTACCACAGCAAAATTAAAATTCTCATGAATGAAATAGGTATTAGATGCAGTTAGCACCATATCATTGTGTTCACAGAACTGAAAATCAAGGCATTACTAGAATTAGGCACATACATTTAAAATAGTTTCTCTGAACCATTTTTAAAAAATTTAATTCTGGCAATTAATCGGAATAATCTGTTTTTAATGCCTTGGCTTTTGTTCTGATTCTAAGCAAAGCAATGTCAAACCAGTATTTCAATCCAACTTGTTTCAATTCTCAGAAGTATCAAACAGTTTAAACATTCTTTGTGGGTGACAAAAATCCAGGAATGTTTTGAGTAACATGAGCCATAGTGTCTTTTGTGTAGAAAAGGATTAACAAATATAAACTACAGAGTTAGTAGTGCACTTGTTTGGGGTTCTCTACATAACAGTTCTCTGCAAATATGTAGCTATCTTATTCTTTGATGGAAAAAGCAAAATTTGACTTTAGTTTCAAAGATATGATCCTTATTTATGTAATTCTAAAATAACTTTAAAAGAAATCCAGTGTCTGCTTATGCAGCAACATACTATACCTCTCACTTTTTATAACCCTATTACAGTATTGGCCAAACAGTAAGATTAAGTAAAACAGTAATATGACTTACACTGAGATGATTTCAATATATATTGTCTCTTTCAAATTAGGCACAATTTGGCAGGCTTGAAACCTGCTACTTATTCTTTGATATAACTATCTGCATTCCAGTAAAATTGACCTACTGGCTAATGTGGGTCATATTGTCATGAACATGTGTATGAGTAGTTTACGTTTGTGCTCCTCTCTGTTCAGAAGTCTGTAATTCACTCCAACTTAATTATTTGAGGTCTGTCAAAAGATCAGTTTAATCACTTTGGTTGATCACCAATAATTCTAATTCTTCCTGTCACTTCCTACTAACTTAGCACTTACAGTCTTGTAGATTTTTTTACATATTGAAAGCTGTCTGACAATATTACTGAGCATGGTCTGATATAACCTCTTGCTTGTTTTTGATTGTGATTTGCACTTAAATAGAGTTGACTGCATTTTCTTCATTTAAAAGATTTAAGGTAACAAAATGTACCAATAAATTAGGTTTCTTTACTTTTATGAAGTTCTTCTACTTGTCAAAATGTCTTGGGTGAGTTCAGACATATCCTTATTGGATAGTTTTATGTATTTATTTTGTGTAGTATCTTTGTTGGTTAAGTCTGTATTTGGGTGTTGAAAGTGTAAAAAATTTCAAAATCTAACCCATTTAGTTTGATTATACACAGTTATATTAACATCCTCCTCTTTGGACTAAAATGAAATCTCTCACAATTTCTTTGTATGCCAAACAACTGCAACCAGGTCAATAGCTGTGCATTTTACATTACAAAATAACACTAACATTAATTAAAGTCAGTAGGTAAATGGATTGAAATTTCCCATTATTGTATATTGCATCTTATAATTGTGGAACTATTATTTAGAATTAATACTTTATTAGAGAACTTACTACAATAATTAGACTATTTAAGTTTAAAATGGAAACATTCAATCTATGTCAAGATGATTAAGTAATTTTATGACACTTACTTTAATTCCAGTGAAAGCGTGCCAGTAAATACTACAGAATTCCCTGTTTATCTTTAATCACTCAAATAGGAATACCTTTTCATAACAATAAATATTTTACTCCTCCTTTGCTGAGATGATAAAAATGTAACACTTTACAGAAAACAGAAGTTTGCTTTTAAATAACTGTGGAATTATTTATTTCTGATTCAACTATTTTCAGATTCTCTTCCTGTTACTGGTGCCTATGATTCATTTCCCCCATTGTTTAACAAAAGTGCTGCACTCTAATAAGTAAGGATGTTTAACACTAATTCAGATATTTAAACCTTAGCTATTTCACAAATGGCACAAAACTAAATAAATTCAAGTTGATTAAAAAAAAGTGATTATTTTTGAAATGGAATTTTCATTTTAGAATTGTTCAGATAGGAGGACTTAGTGCTGCCTGTTAGTTGATTTAAGAAGCATAATCTCTTTGTCCATATAATGCCATTTTTGGTTCCACAAGCAGGTGTAGTTACCGTTTAGTCTCTGGATTTATCATAAGTGTAAAAATAAACCTCTTCCATCCTGCTTATAAGCATTCCTTCTAACTATGACTATTAAATCAAGGTCAACAAGATAACGCTGAAAATCCTATGTTTATCCTCTGAGAAAATGGAAAAAAAATACAAAAGCCAAGGCATGAGGACCCATTTTAAAGAACTGACATTGTTTTGAGAGGTGTTGGAGCAGTTTGTTAGGAGATCAGAATGCTGCATTGAACAATGTGTCTGTGTGAGGCTCTCTTTGTGCTATGGCTGATCCTGTTGAATGTAACTGCTGTGTGTTTGCTGGTGTGCACACCTGTGCTATGCTAATGTTTTGATCTGCCAGTTCTGCTCAGTCATACGACTAAACCTAAGGATCCTTTCACACCTTTGTCTTTTGCTGTTGTCAACTCGTGTTTATTTTCCTTCTCCTGTCACACGTGTTCCAGAAGAACGTCTCTTCAAAAGCCCTCTGTGCCAAAATGATAGGCTAAAGATTCTGCAAACAAGGGAGCTCCCACCAGCGGAAGCTCCACGGTGTTGGCAGACAAAAGAAAAATAATCCTCTTGCTAGGTGAAAGCCGAGGCTCTTCCACATACCTTTGCATGCCTTTCTGTGAGTGATGGGTTTGGTCATGTCACGATAGTAGCCTTCCTTGCAGTAGTGGCAGTGGCGTCCTGCTGTGTTGTGACGGCAGTTTAAACAGACTCCTCCACTCTTCCGACCAGAAAGTTTGAAGAGTTCCATATTAAAACGGCACCGTCGTGCATGGAGGTTACAGTTGCAAGCTACAAATGAACAAAAAGTAAAAATGCAATTAATCCATTTACAAATAAATGCACAATTACTCTGTACCCTTATCCTGTGCTCCAGTAAAGAGCCATTCCATTCACAAAATGACACACGTACTGTACTAAATATTTGACAGGGCACTCATAGTCATGAAGTAACACAAAAAGCTTAGGATCAGATTCGGTGTTGTAACCAAAAGATTGATGAGGGCTGAGCACTAGGTGTTGTTTAATTGGACCTTAGTAGAGCTTTTAGCAAGATTTCTCATGGTAGACTAATTAGTAAAGTTAGACCACATGGGATTGGGGGTGAGCTTGCCAATTGGATATAAAATTGGGTTAACAGTAGGAGATAGAGGTTGGTGGTATAAGGTTGTTATTTGGACTGGACGCTTGTGACCAGCGGTTCCGTAGAGATCGGTACTGGGTTCACTTTTGTTTGTCATTTATATAAAAACGATTTGGATGGCATGGTTAGTAAGTTTGCGGATGACACGAAAATTAGTGGTATAGTGGACAGTGAAGAAGGTTATTTAAGGGTACAAAGAGATCTTGATCAATTGGGTCAATGAGCTGAGGAGTGGCAGATGGAGTTTAATCTGGATAAATTTGAGGTATTGTACTTTAGTGAAACAAACAAAGGCAAGACTTACACAGTTCATGGTTAGACCATGGGTGCTGTTGTAGAACAGAGAGATCTAGAGGTTCAGTTACATAATTCTTTGAAATTTGCATCTCACATAGTCAGGATGGTTAAGAAGGCATTTAGCCCACATGCCTTCACTGTTCAGATTATTGAGTGTAGGAGTTGGGGTGTCATGTTGAGGTGTACAGGAGAACTGTGTACAGTTATGGTCACTCTGCTATAGGAAAGATATTATTAAATTCAAGAGGGTTCAGAAAGGATTCACCAGGATGTTGCCAGGATTCGAAGGTTTGGGTTATAGCGAGAGGCTGGATAGGCTGGGACTTTTTTAACTGGACTCTTGGAGGTTGGCCTTATCGAGGTTTATAAAATCAATTGGGGCATAGTTAAGGTGAATAGCAAGGGTCTTTTCCCTAAGGTGGGGGAGTTCAAAACTAGAGGTGAGAAGGTTTTTAAGGTGAGAAGAGAAAAATTTAAAAAGGTCATGATGGGCAATGTTTTTACACAGAGAGTGGTTTGCATGTGGACTGCACCGTCAAAGGAAGTGATGGATGCAGGTACAGTTACTTCATTTAAAGAAACCTTTGGACTGGTACATGAATAGGAAAGATTTGGAGGGATGTGGGCGAAATGCGGGCAAATAGTTTAGTTGGGAACATGGTTGGCGAGGACTAGTTGGACTGAAGGGTCTGTTACCTTGCCGTATGACTGACTCTCTGATTCTATTATCTTTAATGCGATGCAATTAAACACATACTTATGGATGATTAACTGTACTAATAACATATTATTCAGTTTCTACATCACTATAGGTTTATGCGAAGAGGAACAGTTTTTTAAAATTTTATCTAGGATTCTTGTCCTTTTTTTCATGCTCCTTTTACAATGGTAGGTTTGTCCTGTAGTGAATCTGTAGCAGCATTTTGTCTGGAATGAACTTGGCAGAGTAAACTCTCAGGACTGGAATCTTAAGGAAAGTCATTTCCCTGTCCACGGGTTTCATGAAAGTAAGATACCAGTCTAGACAGTCTCAGCATAGCCCTGGGTGAAAACAGAAGGGAGTATTTCTCTGTGAACATCTGGACTTCAAATGATCACTTAATCATGCAGCAACCTTTGAAGTAAGGGGCATTACATTACCGCAGCACGTAACAGACTTCTCACTAGTCGAGAAATTGTCACATTGGATACTGGCTCTATTTGACCAAGGCTAAGACTACTCACTTCCCCCTTTATAACATTGCCCATCTCCACTCACAAGCACCACCAAGAATGGGTAATTTTCTGTCTGATACACCCATTTTTAGGAATTGCTCCACATCAACCACCTATCCAACATCTGGTGTTTAAACAACATAATTAGTGACTGATCACAATTATTTGCCCAGTATTTCATGGAAATACATTCAGTATCAGATGTGCCTTCCATGCTCTGTGGTTTCTGAGCAGGAAGATTGCTATTTGCTTCATCCTGAAGCCTTCATCCAGAACTTATAGTCTTGACTATTCTAATGCTCTTCTGGCTGGTGTTCTGTCTTCCATCATCTACAACCTTGAGTTCACCTAAAACTCAACTTCCCATATGGTAGGTCATCATCTTTATCACTCATCACCTCTGATATTGCTACCCTACAATATTGGTAACGAGTTAATTTTAAAATTCACATCATTGTTTTCAAATCCATATATTTAATGTAGTTAAAACCTCAGGACATTTCACATCAAAATTCATTATCCCACTCATCCTCCAATGACTCCAATATTTCTGTTCCCTCCTCCAGTCCTATTACCCTTCAAAATCTTTGCACTCATGTTGTAGTATTTTTCCTGTTCTTGATTTTCACTACTCCACTATTGATGACCATGACTTTGGCCACCCAAACCCTAAGCTCTGGACCTTGCTCCCTAAAATTCATAATCTCTCAAACACATTCTGTTCCTTTCAGATATTCCTTCAAATCTACCTCTTCAACTAAGTTTTTGTTCACCTCTTTCAGAAGCTCCTTTTGTGGCCTGGTGTTAAATTATTATGATAATGATGCTGTGAAATGCCTTGAGATGTTTTACTATGTTAAAGGTGCTATATAAATCAAAATTGTTTTAACCTCCAGAATCTAAGTAATTATTCTGTTTATTTGCTAATCCCTAGTGAAGACATTCAATAACATTTTTATACGTGCTGAGACCAAAATGGGAAAGATAACGTCAAAACGTTTCTAGGAGTTGCAGCTCTGTTTTACTATGTTGTCTATTGGGTGTACTTGCAATGGAATGTAATTTTTGTTTAATTACCACATTATCTGTTGAAGGCATATTGTACATAATAGAGAAGGAAGTACAAGGAAACAAGTGAATTCAATAAATAATTTAACCCTTTAATACCAGACTTCTGTTTCAAAAACCACCAGATTGATTGGAGGATGCAAAAACTTAAGTGTTCCAAAAGCTTGAGTTCTCAGGAAATGCTTTGTGGCTCATGAGCAAGACTAAATGATACAACCATGCATTGCTGAATATTATTCAGGCTGTTATTAAAGTTGCTGTAATAGACTAGAGAAATAATAACACTGGTTATTGCATGTCAGGTATCAGTGAAAATGGCAGTTATGAATTTACTGTTTTCTGAAGAAGGGTCTGGGCCCGAAACGTCAGCTTTCCTGCTCCTCTGATGCTGCTTGGCCTGCTGTGTTCATCAAGCTCTACACCGTGTTATCTACAAACAGCAGCCTGTCAAGTTTTGAATGATGCAACAGGAGGCATTTTTGACTCACATCACCTAAAGTACTTCTGAATAATTTAAGGATTATTAATTTGTTTCCCTCAGAATATGCTTTATGCTGTAAGATCTTAACAGCAACCAGCCAGGCGCTCAACAAGAACTAATAAATGACACGAGATAGGACAAAATAAATTGGGAAGCATCAAGGTAACCTATTCTTTTAAAGGACTATCAGCAATAGAAAAGATGGAAACTGAGTGAGTGCTTCAGAAGTTTTTGTAAGTATATGGTATAGTTCAGGAGCAAAGCTGAATAAAGCAGCTTTGACCTAAGAAGATGCCATTTCAAGCATACTAAATCAATAAGAAATCTATACTGCACTTAATACAGGTTTTGTAAAAGGCATTGCCATTACAATGTCTTTGTCTTTTCCAGTCATTTCTTAATGACGTTGTCAATGGTAAACATTCCCAGAACTATCTTGTATAATGCCCTTTCCTGCAAGTCTGCTGTCCCTACATGTCGACCATGTTTTCTAAATCATGCAGTGGCAGAATTTCATTGTGTGGGCAGACTTCAGATAAGACAACAGATAAGATGCTTGAAATGCAGGCAACACAAAACTCCTTCAATGGCATGAAGAATTCAATCAGGAAAATTTTAAAGGTTCCTGATACCTGTTTAGAAAAAAAAGTGGTTTCAGCTATGTTACATATTTCAAGGATCCAGAAGGAACTGGCAGGAATAGCAGTAACTACTGTACAGAGAAACACAGATAGGGATCAAAATTATCATTGGCAATTACCACAGATTAGATTACTATATTTCAGATACGATTCAAAAACTAAATCAGAATAAATTATCATCAGTTGAACCTACATGTGACTGTAATGTAAGATGATCACATTTATTTTCATCTTTTCTGCTTTGAAAATTTAAAGTGAAATCTTGTTATTGGCTTATTTGACATGTAATTCAAAACCGACAACTGGATTTGCTTAATGTAACTGAGATAAAATATCCTTGGTGTTGTAATCTTTTTCTCCTCATTTTCCTCCGGGATTCTCTTGCTGCAATGGAAAAGCCTAGAAGGAGGGCAGACTGTTAGCTGTCCATCTCACAACTGCCTTTACTATCATGGAGGACGTGCACCTGTCTGATAATACTGCCTCGGCTCAGTTGATTGAACGGTTGGTTTGCAAGACAGTGTGATTTTGACAGCATGGGTTTAATTCCTGCCCTGGCTGAGGTTACCATGAAGGACTCTCCTTCTCAACCTCTCCCCTTGCCTGAGGCGTGGTGGCCCTCAGGTGAAGTCATCACCAGTCATTTCTGTCTAATGAAAGAGCAGCTCTATGATCTGGTAAGTCTATCGTAACAGAACAATACTGCCTTTCTCAGTGGCCTTCATTCAACACCATCTTCTAAATAGATTAGAAGTTTATCATATGACAATCATTGTTGTATATCCAGAGTATACCTGTCCACTCCATGCCATGGGTCTCACATTTTGTGCAAACTTACATAAATTAATTCAAAATCAAGTTGAAGCATTATATATTTTATGAGAGATTAGATAATTGTGGAATCTTACATTTATTGGCTATGTGAGTTGTATCGTGTTGCATAAAA